GACTCCATGCTGGGAAATAGGGACTGAAAAGGATTTGATTTTATGATGGATAATCAGATACACGTGGGGCTCCCGCGGTGCGCCATGGCCGAAGTGCTAAAATGATCATTGGCATATAATGAGGAGAATATGAATAAAAGCAGGGAGCTTGCATTATTCAGGTGAAGATTTAGTGTGAGGGAAAAGGGAAAGTGCTACACAGACTGTAACTCCTTGGCGAGGTGTGGCCTGGGGCTTCCTCCCTCTGATAGAGGAGAAAGTGGGGCACTGAACAGCTCCTCCCTTGTGCCTGTGCTGGGGTTCAGCAGTCAGCCACCATGCTTCATCCCCACTGACCTTACCCTGTGGGAAAGGATTTCGGTCTTCTTCCTTGTTCTTTTTTTTTTTTTTTTTTTTTTTTTTTTTTTTTTTTTTTTTTTTTTTTTTTTTTTTTTTTTTAACATTATTATTTATTTGGTTTTCTTTAAAAAGAAGGGTTTGACAGGAACTCTGGATGAGCTTAAAGGACTGGAAAATATGCTGAAAATGAGGGACTAAATTTCAAACTCTTGACTTACTAAAGAACAGAAAAGTGGTACAAAGACATTCCTAATTTCTCTGAAAAAGATTAGCAAAATCCATTGCCAGGAATTAGAGAAACTTCGACTTAAGGTAACTTACCATAGAGAAGCAAATTGAACACAAGAAAAACTTACTGAGGCCTGCAGTAGGCTTTCTCTGAACAGAAAATTTGAAACCGTGATCAGTTTTCAGTCCAGCTCAGCTGCATTATTGGTCTTAATACAGAAATTCACTTATAGGAATCCTGTAGAAGTGTAGTGAAAGAAGTCAAATTAAGTAATCAATAGATCCCTTCTACTATTAATATATTTCAGTCAAAAATACAAAATGCTTATGTTATTCTGTTGAGATGATCTGCAAAAAAGGTCTTAGTGATGTTCTTTGGAAATTTGCTTCACAAACAATTTTAATTTGTAAGCTAAATATCAGGCATATAAACTGTGAAATGTTCAAATTCTTTATTACAAAATAAAAGATTGATTTTTCTGATTGATGTAAGGAAAAGAAGTTCACCTAGATTACAAAATCTGGTCTTTCATCTCCAAATAAACATGTTTAGAATTGCTTATTTCTGTCCATGCAGGAGATGTGTTGGGGCTGGGCTGGGAGACAAGGGGAGGAGGTGATGAAGGGGTTGGAGTAAAGGCATAGATAGAGACTCCTGCCACTACTATGATGTTAGAAAATATTCTTCTCTATGCTTTCAGATGGTTTTATTTGCTCAACATTTGTTTTTGTTTGTTTGTTTTGTTCAGTTCTAGTTAAAAATACATATTAAGCCATTTTGTTTCTCCTTTCTCATTGCACCTGCTGGCACCTGTTTCACCTCATTATACCTGCTGACATAATCTCACTTGTCATTGAGTCATAGCTCTTAAATCTAATTTAGCCATCCATTCCTCTGCTACCCTGCCCTTCCTGCTTGGAGTGATTCAGAGCCTGGTCTTCGCATGCAGCCTTCACCAAGGAGTTAACATAAAAAGGAAGAAAAAACCCCACACCAATAAACCCTGCTGCTTGCATGGCTGGTCATTTGGTCCATGTTACAGGCATGCTATCTGCACTATCAGTGAAATGACAAAAATAGTGCCTTTTTGTATGTCATTTGTTGCCAAAAAATTCCAAGATGATCTGTACAGTTTGTGAACACCACCTCTGCTAAAAGAAAGGAAAGCTGATGGGGGAACAGCGTGGAGTGGATTTCAGTGGGCTGGTGAGAGGTTTCATGGTCCTTGGGAGAGAGCACTGCTTCAGGTCACCCCTAGAAAGACCAAACATCAAAAAAGACAAGCATTCTGTAGAGGTAAACGGGGAAGGGCAGGCTTCCTATGAATTCTTCAGCCATTTGATAGCATTCGCAGCAACCTGAAGAGTCAGGTCCCTTCAGAGGTTGCCTCTGAAAACATACCATATCTTTGCTTAATTTTCTAGGTTGGTTGTTTGTTTGTTGTTTTTTTTTGTTGTTTTTTTTTTGTTTTGTTTTGGTTTTTTTATATTAGTGCCCACCTGTCCTCTGAAATATGTGTAGAGTTCTTTTGGGTTACACTCTGCCTCAGAGAAATGTCTTTAAAGGTGCAGCCTCAGCATTACTTTGCTTATATGCATACTTGAGTGTGTGTATGTACTATCTACATCTGGAATGAGGGGCTGTATTAAAAATAAAATAATTATAAAAATAAAATGAAATGGCCTCACATGGAAAGCATTTGGAAAGGAAAATACCAGAGTAAAAATGGAAAAATAAGTACGTGTCAGACCAGCTGCAGGTTAGGAGCAGCTCTCCGGGAAGCCAATGGGATTTGCTGGTGCCCTTCATGGGAAGGCAGAGACGAAGCAAGTACAGCTGCCCCGCAGCACTCTGGTGACCAGGGCTTTAGTCATGCTGCAGGAGGACTTTTAGCTGTAACCTTGCTGGCCTCAGGAGTATTTCTCAGAAGCAAAAGAGGTCAACTTTAGCAAGACTGTGCCCATAGATAGTAATGACCAAAAGGGAGATCCCTGGGGCAGGCAGCATGAAGCTTTTGAAGGTGGTTGTGCCAGCAGACATCTGAGGCATGTGGCATAAGAAAGGGAAGTTCCCCTAACAGCCAAATACCCTTCTCAATTTATTCCTGCACAAAGGGTAAAGAGACCCTAGGCTGCAAACAAAGACATCATACACCGAGTTATTTGTCAGCCTCTAAATTAAGAAAGGATTTTAATACCTCCCTTTAAGAGATTTACTCACATGATTAAAGTTAGGCATGACTTTAGGAACCCCAGAAAATCAGTCACCTGATAAACTCACTGCTTCAGGTAAAAATAAATTACATTTAAAAAAGCACATTTCTTGAAAAACAACACAAAGAAGAGGTATTGTAGCAACAAAAATTTTTCTTGAAAATTATTAAATTGTTTGGTCTTTTAATAATTGAAAAGGCTTCATTACCACGCAGACAAATAACGGGTTGGCTATTCACCTTTTGTAAGATGACATTTGGATTGCTATAATAAGAGAGAAGAACCTTAGAAAACTAATGAAGGAGCATAAAAATGCAAATTACTGCAGCTAATTGGCTGTGCCTTCTTATACCTTCTGAATTATTAATTTATGACCAAGTAAATCTACCCCTTTTAAATAATATAATAAAGAACAACATTGTGCTCTATGCTGTTTAGTTGATAATGTTTGTTCCCTTAATTTTATGGTGAGTTGCTCTTATTTGCACTAGCAAGATGCTTGCAGTGTTCTGTAAAACTCTGCAGGTCCAGCACTCCTCTCATGCAGACTGACATCGTATTTCCTTTTTCTAAAAAAACAAGACAAAAGATGATATCATTATTACAATAATGCTAATTACATCTATAGCGCCACTGGCAGTTTCATTGTGAAGCAGGTTCGGAATTCTGCAGCCACCTATTTACATGCCAATATGTGAATAATTCCATCCATTTCATTGTGGTAACTTACATTCACAAGTGGTTGCTGCCCAGGGGTTTGAAGAAATCAAAATAAAATATTTGATAAGAGGGTTGATACATGCGCATTTTTCCCTGAATATTATTTCATCTCCCACAGAAAATTTGGGAAGATTCTAAGGAACTGCTTATTTTACCTGGGATTTCTAGCCCTGTGGCACAGCCCTTTGGTGTACATGAGCACAATTTTACAATATTTTATCTGGCAGACCTGAACATTCACTGTTTACACACATTCATGGGGAGGCCCTCATATTTCCTGTGAACACTCACTGAGACTGTGCAGTGCATAAACAGTGTGTCCAGTACTTTGTGCACTAGCCTTATATTGCTCAAATGCTCCACAGTTATCCGAAAAATTCTGAATTCATGTGTTTAAGTAATTCTGTTGGACAAGGGCTTAGAAACTAAGCTCAGTTTGCATGATTTGCTTTTTCCCTGATGGCTTCTCATATATACCTGTAGCATGCTTAAATTAACAATTTTTCATTAGAAAAAGATATATTTCAGCACTGGGCACTTTTTCGTAGGTGATACCTGCATGACCAAGATTGAAGAATTTGACCTGTGGGATGGTTCATTGCTTTAGAGGACACAGGCCCTACTTTCTGTAAGGCAAAGTGGTTATTATTACAAAAATCAGCCTTTCAAGACGAGGTTTCTCATTCTCCATTTTAGCCACCAAATGATTTATTTTTAAAACATAGCCAAAACAGGTTAAAAGTTTTGTTGCATTGATTGTATGTTGCTTAGTGCATGGTACTCCAAACCAGAAAAAAAATCCATGTGCCAAGGAACTTGTTTGTTTGTCCCAGCTACCACTGGGGCTGGGGTGCCTAAAGCAGCTCCCACACTGAGGCAGCTCATGAAAAAGGTTTGCTCAGGTTTGAGTTATCTGGCCAGCTCAAGGCTTCAGTTATGAAGATAACACAAGAGAGTCTCCGTGAGTCCAGAGAATTTCTAGTGTTGAAGGTAGGTAAACAAAAGCTGAAGAATATTAAATCTTATTTATTTTGTTTATCTTTTAGGGGTTCTATAATTGGACTGCACACAAGCTTTGCCTAGTGCTTCTTCTTATAGCATCCAAATATCTCACTAGTATCAATGCATTTCCCAGGTGGGGAAACGAACCTTATCTTCAGTTTACAGAAGTGAAATTGAGAGATGCAGGGTAGGTAAAATAGCTGCCCAAGGCTGCCTGTGAAAACTTGGGCTGGAACTTGGATTTTCATCCCACTTGCTGCACAAACTACCGAGCCATCTTTTTTTGCAGTCTGGATTTTCAGAGTATTTTTTAAACAAAAGAAAACAATACAAACCTACCTCTAGGTTGACAAGGAGACATTGCCTTCTTAGGCACCAGAAATATGGTGGCCATAGCATGCCAGTTTTTGTGAGTAAAATTTCCATACGCGCACACACACGCATATATATGTATACACATATATGTATCTTAATCACTGAGAATCGTTCTGTAAAGGATCTGTGGAATATTATATTTCAGGATCAAGACCAAACCTACTACCATTTGAAAGGGTCATATTAAGCATTAGGTTTCTAGTACACATTACTTAAAATATTAATGAAGCATGTAATAGCTGTTAAACTAAAGACAACAGGAGCTGTGAAGAAGATACCCTGATATATTACCCAGAAGATCAAGGAAGAAAACACCTCAGGAATAAGTATTTCAGTAAGAGACTGTAGGTGGTAATTAAAGTCGCTTAGGCACAAAAGAATTTAATCCAAATAGATGTGTGGGGAGTGTAGCATTTACCTGCAACTTGCTGATAGTGTCTGCTTCAACCACCTCTTTACACCTGGAATCTTCTCTCTTAACTAGAAAGAAGAGTAGCAGATATGTTTATGCTCTAAGAGTTAGTGAAGAAACAGAAGAAAGACATGAAGAGATAATAATTATCCATAGATTCATGAAGAGAAAGAAGAGGATCACAGGGACTAGTCATTTTCGTTTGTCAACAGGCCAAAAACTAAGGGGATTAGCCTGCAGCAAATTAGATTAAATATCAAGGAAAAATATGAATTAGTCATGGAGGGAATATTTTAGAATCAACATAATGAGACTATTTAAGGCTAAACTTCCTAAAGCACAGCTGGAGATGGTTTAAGGTTGACTTAAGTCTTCCATCACAAAAAGGATAGTGGAGCTCACTAGGAACAGGCTCCTCTCACGTTCCAGCCATGGGCAGTCTTTTGAACTTCAGTTCAGGTTTTCTGCTCCGTTATGGAAAGTGACGATCTGAGTGACTAGCCCTCTTCCCTCCTTCATGCTTTAGCCCATTAGCTGTACACTTCCTAAACAGCTTTCTCATTAGCACCTGAGGAAAGGTAGACCTCTGGAAATCTGCAGTTCTCCCTGCTTTGCTGGGGAGAAAAGGCATGACATTTTCTGCAAGATGTGTGAGTAGTTGCAAACTGAGCTACTTTAATAACAGGCTTTTGGAGAAAAAGCCAAAGTAACACCTATTACCCATGAGGAAAGAAACCCGGCACAGTGACTGAGAAGTGCTACATTGACCAGTCCTTTGGGAAGAGCCACACCACTTCTTCCCAAGCTTTGTTTCATGTTTCAGGTGACTATTATTTATCTCTGCTGACAAAGTTGCAAAATCGCCTGGTCAGTCCTCACTGGCAGCATAACAACCCCCACTTCCCCTTTATTGAGCTGAGGGTAGAGAGTGCATTGCTTTCTTTCATCATGCCAAGGGTCGTCTCCTGGTGGGAAATACATGATGGGCACTCAGCCTGTCCCAAGGCGGCAGAGCCTCCATCACCCCAGGGAGCACCGAGCAGTGCTTCCTAATCCCGGAGTGCCCTCTAGTGCTGACAGCACGGTGCGGCTCCCGCCCCGCCGAGGGGAGCAGGTCCCAAACATGGCACCCCCTTGGGCACAGCCAGAGCCAGGCTTGCCCCTGTGGAGTGGGAATGAGAGCAACATAGCACGTGGGGCTTCACATCTGCCTTGCAAGGTGCCTCATTAAGTACCCACCCCTGTTCAAATAAGTACTGGCCATAAGTACTCCTAGTTTTGCCATAGGGCATTCGTATTTTACCTTAATTTTCCATAAAGCAGCAAAATATGGAAGAAACAAAGTAATAGCAACCCACACTCGCAATATTTTTGAAGAATAATCCCAAACCCTTTTAATTCGTGGACATAATATTATGTAAACTCATTAGAATCTGAAGACATATTCACTAAATTTGAACAGGGCAGCTTGCTCTTCACAAGGGTGTCACTGTGTTGCTCAGCAACTTGTGTACCTGGGACTGTTTGACATAAAAGACAACGACTTGGCTGTGTGTGATGCAAGCAGACTAAAAGGAACAAGGAAAAGATTTTTAGTTCTTCTCTACCCCCACCTCCCTTGTCCTGTAATTTAAGTTCCCATCTGACGGGAATTTTTACTTTTAAAATGACAAATGTGAGGCAGCCTTATAATACCAGCTATTACCAGATGACTTTCTAATATGTAGATCTCCTAAATTCCTAGTACAATGAAGACAAGGTTATGTACTTTGTGTTAAGTCTACTGCTGGAGAAACACTGACAAACCAGCAAGTGTATTAGGGACAGCAGGGCACAGAAATCCATGTGACATGCTAGCTGTGGAACATGCCACATCTGCTGTTAGGAAGTCTCTGTGTGTTTGGGTTCTCTTTTAAAAGAAGATACTATTACGAATGATGACCATTGTGGAAATGGACTCGGGCTATAGATGCAGTTCCTGTTGTCGTTGGACAGACAGGAAGATGGAGTTCTAGGCTCAAGTGGCTCAAGGAAGTTAGTGACAGGCCTGTCTGTCTGGGAGGGAGTCCGAAAGGGATCTTCAGAGAAGAGCCTAGGTGATCTCTTTTGAGAAGGGCTTTGTATCCTGTCTCAAAAGATTTGCCAGCACTGAATACACTGGTCTTTTAATGACTGAGGAAATTATTGACAGCATGTCTTCAAGTTCTTCTCTGGTAGGAATTTCCACTTTGTGTTATCTTCAGAGTTAGTCAATCCACGTCATTCCATTTCTCCCTTTACTCTCTGTTGTGAGTGATGCCTGCTACTGCAGGTGGGAAACAACCAAGAAATGGTTGTTTAACAGGGCAGATCATCAGAGAGAATAAATCATTTAGGAGTAGATGAAGACATGATATTTACCGTCACTGAGAACTTGCTTCCATCTGTGTATGCGGTACCAAAATATGCTTTTTTGGTACCGAATAAAAGGTTTTTATGGTCTTGTTAGAAAACATTTTCTGGTATTTGAACTAGTATTAAAAATAATAGGTAAATTGATTTTGATATATTAAATATTTTCAAACACGACATCTACCACATATTAAATCTTTTTAGCAGCAGAAGTTAATTGTCTCAAGAAGGTAAGAGTCTCTTGTGGAAGAAGGCCATCAAAACTGGTAATAATAATGATGAACATTAACATGTTATTGTTGATTTAAAATGAATATTCTTTTTCCTGTATTTGAAATAAGTGCCTCACAATAGATTACTATCTAATCTGTTGCTTGGAATAACAGAGGGAAACTACAGTTTTAGTACTGATGTGTGACAGCACTTATCTTTGCTGGCAGAGCTGTAATTAACCAAGTGATTTATTAAGGGAAGGGACTTTAGACGAGGCTTGGATTACGTCATGCGAAACACTGAAGCAATTTCTTGAAATATTTTTCTTTGGCTTGCTTCAGAATTTCTTGAAGAAATAAAAGTTTTTTTAAGTGTCAAGAGGTCCATTGGCTTTTGAAATTTGTGGAAAAGTGACTAGGTTGAAGTGACTCAGAATGAGTTCTGAGATTCCTATTGAACCGAATGTTTAATCTACTTAAATTAAAAAATTATGCTTTGATTTTGGTTATTTTAAAAACAAAACAAAACATACTGTTTTACTTTGTCCTTGTTTTTTTCTATTTCTTCTGAATCTTTAGTATATCTACTGACATAAAGCCAAAGAAAGTCAATTAGAACTCCAGACTAACTAATTTGGTGTCGGAGAATAATGACCTTTACAGTTGTTTTGCAAATGCTCTTCTTGCAACCATCTTGTTTATGGGAAATCCTGGAAAAATAGCAAAATAACAAAAGAAGTGTTGTTCAAGCATTTCTCTTTTATTGAGTGATAATTTCATCAACTGAAGTCAAGTGCTTCTGCAGAAAGTATGTCAGTCTGTACATAGCTATAGGAAAGAAAGGCTGAGGTCACTAAATAATTTCTGGAGGGATTGGGTATGTTCCATTGATGGCGGTACTGTGAAAATGTTGGCAATTAATATTATTAACAAAGGAGGAGATTAAAATTGCTCTATTATCTTTAGCAATTAGTTAGTGTCCTCAGATTTCAGCTCATAAAGTTTTTGTTTATGAGTTGGCCCTAAAGCATGTACAGACCAGACCTGCTTTCTCTAAGATTTCTAAAATGCTGTTGCAGACCTAGTTTTGTGGATGTTATTTGCTTGTTTTGGACATCTGGAATCCCATGTAAAGTTTGTTTTCTCTCTCTGACATGACATGGTTCAGGATTTTAAAAATAAGAGGTATGCAAAATTTTACCTCCCAATATGATTTAGAAATGCTGAGCAGTTCCATTTGGTACCGGAGATCTCAGTGCTTTAGAAAAATAAAATTACTTATTTTATTACTTACAAATCTAAATTTAGATACCTTCATTAAAACCCCCTCGTAAACCTTCCAAAGGAGTAAGTTAATAGAAAATAATTGTAACCATAACACTTTGCTTTAAAATGAAATATTTTGTGTCATGAGAAATCTGGGGGATAAAAAAACTACAGATAAAGGCACTTTAAAATGTGAAAATTCTTAGAAACCGGTGTGAAGACCACCTGGAATAATTTCTTAACAGAGATAGATACAACAAAAATCAGGATGGTTAGAGCAAAGGCAGAGCTCAAGTTGTTTATTCCTAAGCAAATAGGAATTCTTCAAAAAATGATAGTTTTCCCAAACTGAATGAAATAAAAGAGACAAAAAGATGAGAATTCAGAGATGTGGGAAACCTATGAAATACAAATAACCAGAAACACAGAAGACCAAATAAAGCTTAAGTCGTCAATAAAGTGAAATCAGAAAACCTGCATGAAAACCTGTAAGTTTGCTGAACTGTTGTTAAGGATGGTGAGTACTGCAGTATGGTGAAAGATTTGTCTCAGTCTTCACCATATGAATTAATGGTGAATATATTTTTCTATAACATATTCTTCCCAAGGAAAAAAACTAAAGGATGTTACAAGGTCAGGGTGCTGATACCTGGAGATACTGAAATAATATTCAGATATTTTTAATCCCAATTGTTTCATTTGATAAATTATAACTTCTTTCTAAAAAAAAAAAAAATCCCTGAACAAGTTAACAGAAATGTAGTGAAGAATGGGATGACATTGAAAATGAATTTTCAGAAAATGCTTCATGCCTCATGAGAGGTATGACTGAGGAGAATGTGACTGAGAGGTATGACTGAAAGACAAGAAAACCTCACTAAAGTAAGATTAAATGGTTAAATCTTAGCATGGGCAAAGGTGAATACTGCAGTGCCTCAGTTTTCCTCTCTAAATATATGTGTTTACATGCATATTTTTTTTGAAAAGTGGGTGAATACGAAATGAAAAATATGCAGTAGACAAAGTAATCCAGGTTAGCTTGGATGAGAGATG